AAATAAGAATCACATCATGATTAGTAGAGACTGATCTTTGATCGGGCGAGTGTGGTGCTCAATTCATGACATTTCCCTCTTGTACCTAAGTTCTCGAGCTGAGACACTTTGGTGATGACAGATGAGTGGCCTTGGCACGAGTCTCAAGTTTTCTAAATTTTCCAAAAATATTTAGGTGATGACTCTGAAATCTGGCAAAGCAGTCCATTTTTGGCATTTGATTCAAATATTGATTTTCTAAAAGAATTACTGGATTTGGACTCTTTTTGTGTTTTTATTGTTTCACATTGCACTTGTGAAATCAGATTCAGAACCACGGGAGTCCGAACTGTAGGGCTAGTCGTATCCGAAAGGAATACGAAAAGTCAAGCTACAATGATATTCCTAAAAATCAATGAAGTGCAGCACTACTGCAAACAGGTACCACTAATACCCCATGTAGTGTCACACGATCCAAACCAGGAGTATGCTGAATTTATGTTCAATCGCTAGAGGATTAGATGTACTGGAACCAATAATGCACTTCATAATGATCTGGTTGAACACTTGTGGGTCCATCATGGAGAGTTACATTAAGTTTGTAGTTTATCCTTTTAATGAAACTTAATGTCATTTAATGTCTTTTTATTTTAATAAAATTGTCTTAATTTGCAACTTCATCGTATTTATTTCAATAAGTTTGTATTTATTCATAAAAACATTGAAAAATCAAAATTAAAAGCATAAATAAATTATATTGCAAACACAAAATTACATTGGAACATAAAAATAAAAAAGTACATTCAAAAATAAATGCTAAAAATTACATTGAAAAATAAATACTGAAAAGTACATTTAAAAATAAAGGGCATTAAATCAATTGAAATGGTAAAAATTACATTGAAAAATAAATGATATTGCAAAATGAAAAAGTACATTCTCCCCTAATTATTCATCAAGTGGTAGGAAAAAATAGTAATTTGAGTTGCTTATATGTGCCAACCACTTTGCAAAAATCTTATTCTTATGCATTATGTAATAAGCTTTTGTCTGAAGATCTAGAGTAGAAATGTCCGCAGTCATTATTTGATGTTCTTCTTTTTTCATCTCAAACTTTTTCATCTCCTGCAATGCTTGCAGGCGTTTATCTTCTCTTTCAGTTTTTTTCATTTCTTTTTCAACAAGATGTTGGTTAAATGTCTCTAATAAATTGCTAAATTTGTGGACTTCAGCTTCAACGACTTGACTTTTCCGAAGAAATTCTTTTGCAGATTTCCTAACTATAGGCCTTTCACCCCTGGTAGAGACTACAACCTCAGCAATTGGATTATTACCAACACTTGGACTGCTATCATCTTCAAGAAAAATGCAATTATCCATAGGGGATTCAGGGGCCAAATCAGAGAAAAATGGTGTATGTATCATTGACTTCACTATGTTCATAGAAGCTACATCTTCCCACTTGATATTGTTTTACAAGACTAGCTGACAATGTTCAAAAGCAAAATGTTTGTTTTCATCTTGATGGTATAAAAGTTTTATTTGAAGCATCTGTATCAATAAAATCCCCCCAAAAAAATTATTTAGGTAATTTTTATATGAGACAAAATAAAAAACTAATATAATAAATGAAGATGAATTCTTACTATATCAACTTGAGACATCCCACTTGGATGTAGATTTTCGACTTGGGCTAAACACCCACGAAATTTGTTACAACATTTCATGATTTCATTATTACACCCCATCAAGATGAGATAAACACTTGTATTCTTAACTGACCATTCTGAAGTGAGCAATAATTTTGAAAAATTCTTTCCCAAAAATGAGTATGAGATTGCAAATTGCCAACAATTGGGTCTTCAGTAATGTGACACCAAGCTCTACAAATTGCAATATCTTCATAAATACTTAATGAATTTCCGCTCTTTGCTTTTGATGAACTTTCCATAGTGATTGTGTGAAAAATAAAGAAGAAAAATATAATTTGAGATGTGTTGCTATGAACTCAAATTCAATCCAATGTTTGGATTTATACAATTACAAAAAGATGACCCTCTTTTTTTTAGCCGTTTAATTTATAGCCGTTGATGTATTCTCTGTTTGGAAAAAGAGCCGTTTTTTTTTTTAGACAGTATAGAGTCGTTGCCATATGTGCCAATGAAGAAGAAAGAACAATTTTTTTTTTTTTTCCAAACTAAAATAGAGTTGTTGCCATATGTGCCAATGAAGCAGAAAAGTAAATGTTTCCCTCCCTCCCTCCCTTCCTCCCTCCAATTTTTGTTCATCTTCTCAAACCATTTCAACAAACGAATAGAGGAAGAAACGCAAAAAATGGTCCACAAACGAATAGAGGAAAAAACGTAGAAAATGGTCCATGAACAAACAGAGGAAAAAACGTAGGCCTGAGAAGATGAACAAAAACTGGAGGGAGGCAAGGAAACAACTGCTTTGCTACACTTCGTGGACACAAATAACAGCTGCAAAAACTTGTGTCAAATTTGACACAAGCTTTGGCATTTCTCAAATATGATAGTTGTTATTTCTTACCATTGGAGCACACTACTCTATTGGAGTTGTCAAATTATGGCAATATTGGAGCTGCTCTTAGGAGTGTACAATCTCCTCTAATTCATTCATAAACTCACCTAACCCAATCTAATTAAACTTGTTAAATGTGATTTGAGAGAAGTGATAGATGAGTTAATTTGGTTACGGTTCACAATTTATTCAACTCTATTTAATCAATCGTAACACACATAATGTGATATATTAGTATACTAATATAATAGACCTTACCCACAGTATATTATTACTAGGTACTTATGTCCATTTAGCGTTATGTTTTGTTCGTTTGGACGAAAAATAAATTTAAAAAATATATATTTTTATATATATTTTTTTATGTTTGATACAAGGAAAAACAACGCCACTCTTACCTTCACCACCACACCACGACAATTACCACCATCATCGTCGCTATCATCGCCGTCGATGCCCTACCACCATGCCATCACCTCCACCTCTATCTTCATTTTATCACCACCACCACCAAATATTAAAAAAAAAATGTTTAGAAAATAGTTTTTGAAAATAAAAAATAAAAAATATCTTCCATTTAAAAATTATTTTCACCTAAACAAGCGTAGCCGCTCGAACAGTGTAATCATAAAGCAAAAGAAGCCATATTATTTCTCAATGCCGTCAAGCTCCATGTTATATGTTATTTCTTCAGGGGTGCTATTAGCACCCCATCTATTATGTTGGACCCTCTATTTTTTTTCACTTTTTAATTTTTAATTTTTTTTTTCTCCTTTCAAATAAAACCAAAACTATCCATGTGAAAATAATTCACCCATTCAATTGAATGCACACTCCCTACACCCCAAAAAAACTTCTCTTCCAAAAATCCTAACAAAACTCACGAAGAAAAAGAAGAAGAGCCAAAGTGTGATTACTATCTCTGCTTTCTCTCTCTCTGCCTCCTCATCCTTTTCTTTGATAATTAATGTTTGGTACCGGTTTCCGAACAACTAATAAATATTCAGTTACCGGTTCCTAAACAAATAAACAATGTTCGGACCTGTATTCCTGAATTTCGATCATTTGTTTAGGAGTTCAATCCCGAAAAAATGACGAACAAATTTTATTATTTTTGCCCTTTTTTTTAATAAACTTACTCTTACAAGACCAATTTCCTTTGAGCTAAGAACACTATCAAAGTTATAAACTTCCTCTCAACTTATATTGTTGTACTCCTCTCGTCTCAGAGAGTTGTGGCTGTTAAAAAAACTTCTACTCATTATCATTACCGGAGAAGTGTTGGTAATCAAATGGTTGCTACCGTCATCCCCGGAATATTGCCGCCAAAGAATTTTTAAGATTTTGAAGATGGGTAAGTTTTGAAGGTGAGATTTGAGAAAAATAGATGAGTAGTGATAGAAGTGAGCACTCTCATAAACCATAATTCATGATGTAGTGGTGTGTGAGTTTAATTGTGAGATGAAATGTTTCAAAATCAACGAAGTTCTTTTTAGTAATTTTATTTGAGGTTATTATTGTAATATAAAAAAAAAAAAAAGCCAAAAATTGAAGGGTCCAAAATAATTCATAAGGTACTAATAGCAGCACTATTTATTTTATTTTATTTGGTAGTTGTGATTTTCTTTTTACTAGTAATTTAAATTTTTTTTATACTTGTAAAGCTAACATGTCAACCTAACTAACCTGCTAGTTCAGGCATGGAATGCTGGGATGTTTATGCATTTACATGAAAATTATATAGGGAATCAATTACAAATATATATATATATATATATATATATTACAAGTGTGGTAAAGATAAAGCTTCAGAGCACCCCAAAAGATAAAAAATAATTACATCAGAAGAATTTTCATCTTGACCACCCTCTATTACACTCGCACAAGTTGCAACATTTTTAGGTGCACTCCCATTCAAGCAATCTTTGCCACCCTTGTCAACTGCACTTCTTTTTCTTTTCTTTTTTTGTACAAATTTTTTGGATTACAAAAAACCAATGCTCACGGAGACAGATAGAGAAAAGCAAAATGACCATAGAGAGAGAGAGAGAGAGAGAGAGACCTCATAAGCAAGAACTTCAACTATAATTCTTGTCTATATGCATGCATTCTCCAAATTTTTCATCAACCCTATCTTATTAGGAGTCTATAGGGTTTATTTATGCTGAAATTTTAGCCAATTTTGTTCAAACAAGGTTTAAGAGAAAAATAAAAAGGTAATCCTAGTGCCCGAGACTCCCACCACTACTACAGGATATGCATGCAATCTTACCTTCGTGTGCAAAGGAACGGTTTCTGTGGTTTGAACCCATGGCACCCAAGGTGCAATAGAACAACCTTACCACTGCATCAAGGCAGAAAATTGCAAACCTTCTCTTTTTCTCCTTGATTTTCAAAAATAATACTCAAATTTTCCAAAAATTTAATGACCCATCTTTGCTTGAATAATTTACATCCTAGAATCACAACTTTTCCTTGCATGACTCAAATTATAACTAGCATACATGAAAAGTGTAATAAATTCTTTTCAAAGTCGATAGTCACCTACAATATACACTATAAAGTACAAGAAATGACAACAAAAAGCCTCAATCCAATCATGAAGCCTGATTTATGTAATTCTGTTTTCATGGTTCTGCTAAAGAGAATTTTGTATTGTTCCTCTGAATACTTTGTAGAAAAAATGGAGCTACTATGATACAAATGATATCAAAACTAGACATTTCTGTTTTTGTGCAAAAAATTGTTAAGATATGAAGAGTAGTTGTACTCACTTCTTTTGGAAGGTCACCATACAAAAGAAAGCTATGAAACGACAAAGTATACCAGATAGTATGAGCAAAATTAGACAGCGATTCCAGTTATGAACATCATAGCCACTTTGCATCAATGAACCACAGCGAGTTATCAGCCATACCCCCGAGTACCTGAAGCGTAGAGCAGAAAGAAATATTATGTGGAAATTTAGACACAACAAAGGATTTCATAGCACACTTCTGTTTACAAAATATAATGAAATAGAAGCATAAGTTATCTGCAACATATATATATATATATATATTTTCTTCAAAAGTTGTCTACAACGTCTATTAGATAGAAAATGCATCAAATGCCTACACAGATTGTGCACATCCTGAATTTGAAAAAGCATTCAGTTTTGCTTAATTTGGCCATGTACTGTATCTCCATACCTCAAAATACAATTTTACATGGAAGCTGATCTCTAGCAGATAACCATAGTAACAATAACACTTCTACTCACAAAACTATCTCCAATGTGTCATGAACCACAGTTCTTTTCAACCACGATCTCACAAATCTGAAAAACTGAGTTAAATAGTTCGATGCAAGAATGGTTTAACCCAAACACGATTTTTAAGTAGGAGTGGCAGATTTCCTATGAAGTGGGTCGGGATTATTGCCCTGTAAACCTAACAAATCCAAAAGGTACTAAGAGCGTTTTTTTAGTTTTACACCCACTATATCTAAAGCATATATATGACAGACATATTTATTTAATAAAATACTATAAACTTACCCAATCAAAATTGACCAAGAGTTATTTTACAGATCATTTAGTTAATTCTCTAGTTAGGTAGGTCATTCATGGGCTGCATTTTGGTTAGCACTAAACCCACAATTAATCTCCATCTTTTTATGTATTGATTGGAAGTTCTGATGCATTGTTGGGACCAAATTTTTACATTTCTCAACATTTTGTGATAGTCATTTTGGTAAAAAGATTTATATTGAATCATCCAATTTTTCAAACATTTCAGGAGAGAGACAACAGCCAGAAATTCACCAAAAAAAGACTACAGCCTGCCATTGGTATTCTATTTTACCTTTCAATCTGTCTTGCTTATATAACTGAACTAATTGAATCAAGTTACAAAACAGATTTGGGATATGGTTTCAGAATAACCCAGCTTCAATTTAAGTTGGGTTTGAGGATTTTTTGGCTAAAATAGCCACAAAAAACAAAATAGACTTTTTAGTCCAATAAGACAAAACATTACATCCAACCCATAATCATTACATTCTTTCTCTCACAAAAAAGCCAAAAAAGTCAAAACAGCCAAAAGCCCTTCCCAAACCAAGCTTTTTAGCCCCAGGCTAAAATAGCCAAAAAAGCCAAAAAGCCAACCCACTTCCCAAACGAAGCCTTAATTTGACTTTGTAGATCTTGGATATTGCAAGATTTATATACTATGAATCTTTTACTTTTGAAAAACAACAGCTGTGTGAGAACATGGTGTATCTGAGTGATATACTTTTCTAACTACCAATGAAACCTTAATAAACTTAAAATAGGACTTTGAATCTTTTACTTTTGAAAAACAACAGTTGTAACTTGTGTCAGAACAGTGTATCATAGTGATAACTACCAATGAAACCTTGCTGATAAAAAAAAAAACTACCAATGAAACCTTGCTGATAAAAAAAAAAACTACCAATGAAACCTTGCTGAACTTAAAACAGGACAAAGATGTATTGGCCAAATTAACCTCTTTCCGTAAAACATTATAATAAAAATTCTGAAAATTGTGATTTTTCAATCTTGGTAATAATTCCCAATTGTGCAAATATCATGCAGAACCCTTGACAAAAGCTTGAGAGTATATCGTTCCAACTAAAGTATATGCATAAGAGGGTACAACATGAGTGTGTCCTAGTAATTGCATCACAATAAAATTTTTCACAAGAAAGAAAATAGAGTTACATTACCTTTCAGCATTTGCAATAACAAAGGCTTCTAAAGCCCACTTCGGGTAGCAAAAATTTCCTACAAGTTTTGAAATTTGACTATCTTTATCCTGGTTTGCGATGAGAGTCAAAACAACTGGAAGAAGAACACACCACTGCAGGAGGGGTGAAGTGGCACATCAGCAGAAAAGATTCAACAATATGATATTTTTATATATTCATTAACAATAATTATCAGTATGAGCTTCCAATACATACCAGTTGGGCCGGACTTGGTTCGAGCAAGAGGGCAAATACATAGGCCATGCCAGTCACACAGTACACAAGGCAGAGCAAAACAACATAATTGTCCTCAAAGGATGACCGAGGGTTGTTGAAGAAATAGAACATGGAAAGATAAACCAAAGGCTTGATGACGGTGTTGAAATGGTCTATCGTATCCTTGGAGAGAAAATAAGCTAAACTACTCATGCCAGATGCGCTCTCTCTCCAGTAGTGTAATTTGTCCAGTGAAAATGATCTCAAAGCTGATATCTTGCATAGGAGTGCTGAAAATCAGCAAATAACTAAAAATAATGAGCAATGGAGGACAGTTGGGGGAAAATTTTTTGAAACATTTAGAGCATCTTCAGAGAGTTGTTGCAAAGTGCATGCTTCACATAAAAGATGACGGCATTGACAATCAAACGACATTTAAAAGAGGTAAAATAACAAGTTTTAATAGCATTACCCATGCAACAAAAAGAGCAACATGATAAAAGCTACCAAATTTCGGTTTTCCACTTACAAATAGCAATGACAGTATAAGTATAACCTAGAGCCCCAAATGTTTCATCGCTCACTTTAGCAAGAGTTCCTAATGCTGCTCCAGCAATTAATAGGATCAGATAATCTGCTGCTTGTATTTTAGCTTCTCGTAGTCTCTGCTTCCCAACCCTGAAAAAGTTACTTTTTCTCATTAATAAAGTAACAATTTGTGAAACATAACCAAACGGAAAAGGAAACAACCAACTAAAAGTTGAAGATCACTGTCATAGATATTGAAGTCAGTCTTCATATTTATCAATCTAATTAATTAATAGATCCAAACACTAATTCAAATGATCAAGTGCCATCCTCAAAACAAACAAGTTAGAAAAAAAAAAAAATCCTCAAAACAAACAAGTTAGAGAAAAAAAAAAAAAAAAAAAAAAGCATTTTATGGAACTGAAGAGAGAGAGCTTTTGCTTTAGATTCCAAGGTAATAACTATGGGAAACACAATTGACCATCATTACACAGTGGCACCTTTCTCAAAAAATTTCAAATGTATACATAATCTGGACCATGGAAATTGTTCAACTGTCATTGATCATTTCTGGAGACTACAAACTGCATATAATTTGACACTAATGAATCTGAGGTTAAATAAAAGAAATAGACTTATACCTCCCGAGGAAATATCTATATTGACGGAGCACACCAGGAGTAACTCGGTTAGATAGATCATGGGATTTTAAAAAATTGTGTTGTATATAATCTCGCTGAAGTTCAACAGTGCACATCATATCCTGCCACAAGTCTCCGGCAAAAGATTTTTCAATAGGCCCTTCAGCACCTGGAATTTTATCCTTTGTGGATGTTGAAATTTGATCACAAAGGTGCATCATATCCGGGGGTACTGGGTAACCATTATGAAGCATCCACCTAACAGGAAGCTGTTGAATAGTCACACCTGTGCCTGGTTTAACTATACCCTCCAAAATGTCAATGAAGTGATCCGGAGGATTAACACGTTCTGGTACAGTGATTCCAAGGCCCGCAAAGTATTCTTCAACTTTCTTTACAGATCCATGGTACACCGTAAGACCACCTTTGGCGAGAAGTATTAAGTCATCAAACATCTTGAACAATGCATAGCTGAGCAGAAAAAAAAAATAACTATGACAACCAACCTAATAAAATGTGAAAGTGAAATGTGCATGACACTAGTATTATCCTTTAGCTAGTACAAAATTCACTTTTTTTATTCGAGGCTATTAAATAACTGACCATTGCTTTCATATCAAAAAAAAAAAAATGTAGACATAGTTAATGTCAGCCAATGATTACAAAGTAAGCTACGAGATGGATCGCATGCTCCACTTTCTTCGATCTCTTCTTGCTCACTAAGGCCAGACCCATTTCTTATTCATTGCAGTTGGTATTGTCATGTTGACGGGATTATGCCTACTTAATTCATGCAATTAGCCAACATTATTAACTCTTGACTACCACAAGAATCCAATAAGTGTCTTGAAGTTTCTATGAACAATTAATATATTTTAAATTAATATCAATGTTTTCTCTTTTACAGTAGTTTCAAATATTTTCCCAGCTTAACATTCACCAGTTTAACAGGGTATAGAGATGTAAAAACTACAAGTTATGATAATATTGGGGTTGGCAATTACAAAAATCACTGCCATCAATTCTTTTCCTAAGATATGATGGGTAATGACTTACTTTTAGATTTTACTTTGGCGAGTTTCCAAAATACATTGTAAATTTGCTCAAGGAGAAAAATAGATTCTAACAACTAGGGAGCTATAAAGCATAGGTACTTCAAAAAATGATGTCATCCAAGTATTGGGGACGTATCCGGTACGGAAACGGCTCTTATACGGCTAGGTAGGGCTTGGGTACGGCATGGACACTTTTGTGCATAGCTCAAGACCTGAATGGAATTTTTTTTCTAAATATAGGGTTACCAGAATAAATATATTTGTATATTTTCAAAAACTCAAAAAACAAAGGTTATCTTTGCAAATGTCTCTCATTAGACTGAGCAACCCTCTGTCTCCCTCTAGCAGTCCATAGCAGAGCAACCCTCTCTCTCTCTAAATGTCAATGCCTTAAGGCAGATCCCTGTGTAGAAATGGGATAGGGCTTTTGACGAGTTAAAAGAGATGTTTTTTTAACAATAGGTTTATTATTCTTGCCACATTGCCCACGAGGTAAAAACCTAGGTCAAGTGATTAACCACCTAATCCTTGTGGCCAAAGGCTTCTGACCAGTTATTACTCTTTTCTTTTTACTCTCCATGTTCCTTGGTTTTCAATTTCAAAACATCTTGGAGGAATTTAAAAAAAAATATATCATGAAAACCAGTCCAGCTGGTAGATCTAACAGCAAATGAGAGATGACTACATCTTTGCTGTATCTATAAGAGGCAGAATGACTTTTATTGATTCGGAAACTATTGTTTTTAAATGGTCAGTGGACAATTCAACAAGTTATTGAAGAGTAGTAACAAAAACCAACAGGAAACAAAAGCTGCATAAGAGTTTCTCATTTTCAGCTCATGCTTTCGAATATTTCGGTCTCAAGTGAAAAAAGAGTGCATTAGAATAATTTATAGAACAAACCTTGGTTGGTGAACAACCATGCTGATGTTTACCCCTTCAAGAGCTTCACGTCGAAGAGCTCTAAGAAGTAAATTTGAAGAAGAGCTGTCCAAGCCAGATGTGGGCTCATCCAATATCAAAAGTGAAGGTTCCATGACCATTTCTAGCCCAACATTAACTCGCTTCCTCTGGCCTCCAGAGATTCCTCGCTTCTCTACTGTCCCAACCAGGGAATCCCTCACTGCCTGCAGTCCCAAGCATTCAATAACTCTTTCCACAACCAGAACCTTATCAGCTTTTGGCAAGTCGGCAGGCAATCTCCATTATTTAGGAACCGAATAAAAATTATGACAATCAGCATTTTACAACAAATAACTAGATAGAAAATCAAACAGGTCTGAAAGTTATACAAGATAAAGGCAGAAATGGCAAAAACCCAAACATAAAGTCAGAAATAAGCTTTGGAGCAGTGTTTCAGTATGTCAAAAACAGTGTAAGAAAAGAAGATAAAATGATGAACGGTAACTGGATAAAACACGAACTAGAAGCACAGTGAAAGAGCAAAGACGTGAAATCTAGGCAACGAACTTGTGTTTGTCTTTTGAAGGATAGACTATCTACGCACAACAAGGTTCGCAAGGTAGAACTTAGTGGGAGAGATACTATGATGTGATTTCATGTTTCACTGAGGAAAACTAAATCATGTCAAATAAGATTGTTATTGCATCTCAAACCAGTAAAGAGATGTGTAGTTCATCTATGCAAAAATGCCTGATAAGGGGAGAAGACTAGGTTAAGCCGTCAAAGTATACAAAGAGCAACCAAGTCAAAACCATGCAGAAACAGAAGTGAGAAAACCTTCAGTCTTGGGTCTTTGTTATAAACCATATAAAAACATGTATATTAGGATATTGGAAGATATCTGAATAATTTGGAGATGAATTATGATCAAACTAAAGTTTGTTTCATTAGTCTTCATCTCTTGCAATCTGATGTATACCCTTAAAATAGGGCGGTTGATTTTATTATGTTTTGGGGTCAAGTTTTTGTTAACCAGCAGTAAGAGTAAAAACAGAAAAAACATATAACATACAAATAATGAAAAAAAAATAATTTAAATTATAAGACCGCCAATATCAAGAACCCAGTTCCATAGAAATAAAATAAAATAAAATATTTAGTTCATATAACTAGCCAATTATTTTGTAAAATTACATGAAATGAGAACTGTTCAGTAGTAATAATGCAGTAGCAATATAGAAATGAACAGAGAAGAAACAAAGAGGAGACAAAGGAATAGAAAAAAAACAGCGAACAGACAAAGCAAACTGGGAGGAGAGATGACTAGGTTAGGCCTTATTTGTTTTGCACTGATAAACAATGTTGGCATATTATAATCACCGAAAGTCTTAGTATTTTATTAGCCGAAAGGCTTGGGTCTGTAATCATTATGATACCCTCAGGGATCATCTTGTAATTGACTTTGTTTGTAAACCCTAATCTTCATATATAAATAAGGGGTGATATCTCATCATACCCTAAGCTGATTATTCAAAGCTTCAAACAATACCAATGTTTAAATAAAAATTAAATAGAGATGAAAGTGAAAAAGAACTAGCAACGAAATTCTGGAATTGGAGGACGTAAGAGTCCAGCCACACAGAGGGATTGATCTCTGTCTATATATATATAACTAGAGAGACAATAAGGTACAATTCCACCCCCAATTATACTTGACATGAACCAGTGAAATTACATTTGATAATTGAGTCATTAATCAATTTCAACATTAACATTCACAATTTAAGAATCACTAGTACCACTGAATGCCAAAGGCCACACAGGCATTAAGCACAATAATAATTTGGGATTAGCTTGTATGAAGAACTAAATGTCGCATACCTGCATCGTGCACTGAACCGGAGGTTTTCCTCTACTGTCAAGTTTCCATGCACAACATCATCTTGTGGGACAAAACCAATAATTTTTTTATACGAGAAAATGGATTCAACTTTTCCATTTATAAGAATTGAACCCATCCTAGTGCATCCAGTAACCTTTCCTGCCAGAGCAGAAAGAAATGTTGTTTTTCCTGCCCCTGATGGACCCATGACAGCAGAAACTCGACCGGGCATAATTTTCCCAGTAACACACCTCAAAAGATGTTTTTTTTTCCCTTTCAAAGTAAGAGTTAGATCCTTGAAAGCAACCTCAATCGGAAGCCTGGTCCTGATGTCATCATCAGTCGCCATAGAGATTACTCCTGAGAAGGTCAAGTTCTTATTCTTCTGCTCCATGGCTTTCTCTTTCTCAAGTTGACCATATGCATACTTGAATATTTGGCTTTTAGTATGCAATTGTTTAGCCTTGGGCATTTGCTTCTTGATATTTTTATCTCCAATCTCCACATTGAAGCCCTCATTATTATCCAGGTTGTCATCAAGGGAATGCAACATTTTTGTGAGGTTGCTCGGTTCCTTGTTCTTTGCTTTTGGAGCAGCAGATGATTGCAGAGGTGCATTTGAAACCGGCATCATAGGTGGTAAGTTGGCATCATCCGTACCAGGTTTAGACTGAGCAGGCAACTTAAATTCTGGTTGTTTGTTTGTGGTCTTCCGTGAAAATGTGCGAGATAACTGTTGTTGCAAACCCACTGCACGCTTCTTGGCAACATCTTTTGCAGACTTCCACCTTTCTCTCGCCTGCGCAGTTTCTCGTGCACTTCTTGCTGCTGCTTCCCTGGACTCGGCCAGTCTTTTATACCGAGTACTGATGACTTGGTCTGAGAAATTATAGATAATGAGGAGTATGATACTCAGTGAACCCTACATGGACAAGTGAGCAATATCAGATTCTATTGGAAGAAGCTGCAAACAAAGATTGTTCATGACCTTGATTAAAGGTAACTTTTGCATCTTCCATGCAGAAAAAAACAAACAAACAAACAAATAAGATAGTGTTTGGTTCATTGAAATAGACTGGAATGGAATGATCATTTCATCAAAATTTTCATTCTCATGTTTGGTTGACTAAAAACATAATAAAAAATACATTGTAAATGGAATCATCATTTATCATTGTAAGGAAATGATCATTCCATAAAGGAGCCTAAGGAATGACCATCGCATTCCAGTGAGTAAAATAGAGTATAAGGGTGCTGACTTAAGACTTAGAAAACAGCATTGCAAATGCCAACAAATCTTATACTTTATCTGCAAAGGAATTTATAAAAGCACGTCATCTACCAAAAAGATCTCCTCACTAGATGACTGATTTCTGAATTCTCGCTGATTAATCCATTACTTCAATAATTTTTTTATAAAAAATTTAGTATTTAATCACTGGAACAGAAAATATAAGCATAAAATGTGTGTTTTGTGTATAATGAAATTAAGAAGAATTATTATTATTTTAGTAATGAAGAAGGAATTTACTTACTCTAGATGTATTATAACATATGTTTCTGTTTAAAAAAAAAAAAAAAATCCACCACACTTGCAAATATGTATGTCTTATATTTGTACCCAGAACGTAAACTTCCGGGCAGATTTCTTCATTCATGAAAATCAAAGAGGAACATAATATTTAATGAATTTATTAATTAATGATGCCTAGTTTCCCATTATTAATTTATGATTTCTAGAGGAATGGCTGTACATGCACACAATTTAAAGATATTTTTTAGAGAACACACAAAAGCCAGATTGCAATGAGAAAATCCTGAAGTATGGAAGAAAACAATTATAAGCTAAAAAGCAAAGATGTAAAATCATCCATCTGCAGAATCAAGCGCGAAATCAAATATCAACCTTGTGATCTTGTACCATAAGCAACCACTTACAATAAGAATGAGCCCATATGCATGGATGTTTTGATTTATGGTATTTGGATTGCAGGTACTCAACCTGAAACATGCTGCAAAACAAACAGCAAAGGTTAAATTCTAACGCAAACATCTCTATTTGCTGTCATGCAAGCTAGAAAGTAAAAGCAAGCATCCCTGAAAGTAGTCAGCACCGAGTGTAAAAATAAGGCCAAGAAGAGTGATTGGCAGAATAAAGATGCAGTAACTATTCTTGCACAACATTTTAAAGTAGTGCATCAACTATAAAAGATGATGTTATTATCAAGATTATCATATGCCAGCTATTCAGGGACAGCAAATCAAATCAATCCAGCACTGCATGCTATTAACAGCATGCTATGAGATATAGCATTTTTCAAGCTTTCCATAGCCAACTCCATCAATGTCCTCTCCAGACTCAGTATGTCCTTTTTGAGCCTTCAATTATCCATGGTGCACTCATGGAACACTTAGAAAACCAACTCATTTTACTAGGGAACTTACTCATAACTCATAAGTAACAAATAAAAATTTTATGTGTTAAAATTGATGTATTATTGATTGATGTTTGATTGATAGATTACAAGATTGATTCATTACAATTCCTATACAATCTATATATAGAAGAAAATGTGGTAGTAGGTGTAGTGGAGGTGATAGTGGGTTAGGTGAAGTGGAGTGTGTGGTGAAGTGGAGGTAGGTGAAGTGGAGTGTGTAGTGGAGTAGGTGAAGGTAAAGATGGGAAATTCTAACAGCCCCCCGCAAACTCAAGGAGGAGAGAAACTAACCAACTTGAGTTTGGAGAGAGGAACAAAACAAGAAAATACATAAAAATAAACAAGAAAATACATAAAAATATGCTGGCGGACATTAAAGACGATGCACGACAAGATTACAAGGAGTCACCTAGCCCAAATGGCAATATCACAAAAAGTACGGACCAGACTGAAGCCCCACGAAGACTTGCGAGTGACCAAAGTATTATTCAACACATAACTCCTCCGATCGGAAAATCCTATCAGTGAACAAATGTTGGCAAAACAAGCACCAAAGGAGTTTTTAGTGCATCTAGATAATCAAGCAAAATACAAATGAAAACTGTTTTGCATGGCTCTGCTTTACAATCTATGGCAGCCATGCGAAGAAATGAGGCCTACAGGTAATATAATTCTAGTACTTAGACCCACAAAATTATAAGAAACTCACATAATTCAGCTGTAGAACCCAACCGGCAATAATGTCTGAAATTACACCAAAACATAACATTAGTAGATGCAGATGACAAACTTGAAACACCAAACAAATCACCAAAATAGAACAAAACTAATTTTTGTAACTCAGAAAACCATTGTTGAAGCATGCTGCAACTATTTAAGTTGTAAAAAAAATGAGTAAGTTTTGGGAAACAAATTCAATACCCACTACTGCAGGGAACCCTTTCGGTATTAGTCGACAGTATGATCCTGCTGACAGAACCATCTCACTGCTACTGCAACATCAGCCCAAGTATCAGCTCCACCACAAGTATGATTTACTTTTCCAGGAGGCAGTTGGTAAAGATACCTGCAAATTTTCTCTACCAGTACACGTATTAACGGACCATATAAGCCAAATAAACTTGTGATGATAAAGAAAAATATGTGGTAATAAGGAAAAAGGCAGGTTCAAGTTTGTATATGAACTCACGGATCACATATGCCAGTAGTTTTATTGAGCTTTGCATGTGGGCAATAGGAACCTAAGGGACAAGCTTCAATGACAAAGTAACAAGCAACAGTAAGTCATAGGAAAAAGTTTGGGATATCAGTAAGTTTACACTATCAACTTTCAGATATTCTATTAAACTACAATATATCTAAGATTTACAAACATATAAAAAAGGAACTTTAGGATATGACCTTCACAGTCAAGAAGATGATGATTTAGGAAATCATTACATTGAGGATGATCTTTATACTTTAAGTAGAAAGCAACAGAATTCTTGTATTGCAATAAACACATATGCTGACATGATTGGTCTTATTTCTTACCATATACATTAATAATGAACTCATGCACATACAGTGAAACTTTCATGTATCACTAGTTTTCATTTACTATTAAGCATATTTAAATCTTAGTTTTCAGGAAACCATAAGCACAAAAAAACAAAGCCCCAAATTTGTGAAATGGTGAAAACACCTGCTTTGATTTCTTGCCATATACACAACCAACAAACTTACGCACACATGTCAAAACTAAATGCTAATTGCTGCTTATTTTCTATTCAATACACTTAGTTTTAACTAAATAAAAGACTAATGCAATATAAAATGACAAAGTTTGAGAGGACATGAAGCGTCCAATTTGTAAAATGGAAATAAAAGCTGTAGCCCCAAAGTTCAACAAAGCTTGGAGTTTAGCAAGCTTCATCTGTAAATTGCACTGCTGGGAATGACAGGTTTAAACCAACATGGGAAAAAGCTTCTAATGAAAAAAATTTGGAGTTCATGAAGATCACAATTCACGTGTTACTAGTTTCCTCATATTGGCTTGTCAATTTGTTGGTCTTCATGATTCTAGAAGCATCATAAAGAAGAAGAAGAAGAAGAAGAAGAAAAACATATATCATCCTGATTTGCGTTTTTTACTTTTTACCTACAATTTGAAATCATGTCATTGGACATTTTTTCCAAGTTCCCATATAAATTTAGGAATTGTACAAAGCAAACTCAAATATCCTAGCACACATGGTTTCTTTCCATTCCCTCCTGTGCCCTTGCTGCACATACAGCTTGAACCATTATTTTTGTTGCACTTGATCAAATAATATCAGCCCCATGTTTTCATTCCCTCCATCCCTTTGCTTGTTTAGAGAGATTTGTGCTAACTATTATGATTCTCACAAATGAATTCATTTTCAATTCTTCATATTTTCTTGAGGCTTTCAATGTTTGGTTCATCCTCATTAAGCTGAAATTACTCTCAGCACATAATTAGTACTGGCAAGTATCAAGCATAAAAAAACTAAATTACAAATGGTTGAACAATCATATTCCATAACATAAATTTTGACAGATCAATTTCGGGAGTACAAGTTTGGAGTTTACTCAACTCAAAACCTATCCTCACCACAATTTCATGGTGAATTAACAGCGAATAGAAAGCAGATAGCAGCAAAATAAATTTTAACCAATGAGAACATAAACATCAGATAGAGATATATAGACACACCAACTGTGGGCTTGACAAGATGTAATATGCGTAAATCTAGCTTAACTTCAAACATCATCAATGGAGTAAAAACACACTTACGGATCATGCAAGTAATACCCTGAGGGCAAAAAAAACCCTCACAACATGGTTGGCTGGCATGAGTCCGTTCTGGCATGTCCTTTGAATTTTTTAGGTCAACCTTCACATTCGGAGGAACACTGCTAGCCCATCCTGACTCACATCCGGAAGCCCAAGAGGTCAAGTTGCAGTTCTTGTTAGGTCGTAAAAAATGGGCATTTGATGACTTCCTTTCAAAAAAACTATTAAAGTAGAACTTTATCTCTGCTGCAGTACAGAGTCGCTGTGATACATCTCCTGTTAATTTAATCACATTTATCAGCAATTACTCAATGAGAAACATGAAAGAAGGAGAGTTGCCGAACAAGGAGAAAAGTCAGATGAATGTAAAATTAGGATGCTCATAGGCAACATGTTCTTAGCTGGTCAATTGTACTGCAATCTCGAATGCCCTTTCCCTCAGTTCCCACCTTTATTTTTTTTTCCATAATTAGCTACCTAACGTATCCTAGAATCAATCCAGGAAGATGGTGCTACTATAGGAAGAACAGTGGCTGCCTCAACCATCACCTTACAATTGGTGAATTGAAAGAAGGATAAATATTTCATTTTTCTTTCAGTGACTATTACCAAGGGAGTTATGTAGTTCAAACTTCAAATGAAATGTGTTTTTCTTTTTCTTTTCTTCTCTCTCTCTTTCTTTTTTTTTTCCACAATAACAAGGTATTAACTGTTTGCAACCTAAGCCATCTTTTGGTACATGTAATATAGCATAAAATGCAAATAAATACCTTTTATCTGCCTAATGCAATTGCTGACAAAATTCAAATTGTTAGAAAAGTTAAAAGCTCCATCCCAATCAGCATCCCTGAAACACAACAAAATTTCAAGTATACACTCAATAAACATAATGACAAAGCAATAATTAATAAGCCATGAAGCAATGCACATTACTCACACATCCTTTATGCAGAAACCCAAATAATTGGAGATATCTTTTCTAAATATGGGGGTGAAATTCGATATATGGCTATATACAAGCGATGTAACAAATGGCGAAATCGAATCGGTACTTGGCGGACTGTCTCCATCGTCATCAGACGTAACACACCAAATGCAGGGCAATAAACCCAAAACAAGAAGTAGAAAGAGAAGCAAATTTGGAACCCAATAGGCAAAGCCTTTAGCTCTGCTCATCGCAATCATTCAGAGCTTTCTAAATCTGCTAAATTTATAGAGATAGAAAGAGAATCATTTAATGCTCAAAACAATGCAATGAATTTTTAGTCTGTGCTTGTCCAGGTAATAATTAATCAATTCATAGCTCCAAGACAAGCTTCAAAATCTTTCATTGCATAGTGGGTATGTGATTGCACAATGTGAAATTTGATGTGTGTTGGAGAGAGAACAATGGAGGTTGGGTAAACGGACATGGTAGTGAGAGTTGGAGTTTGGGGGTGCACAGAGAGAGAGAGAGAGAGAGAGAGAGAGAGAGCTATTTTGGGTGATTCAGAGAGAGAGAGAGAGAAAGAGAATTGGGTAGGGTTTGGAAGGAGGTCCATGATTTTTGGAGATGAAAAAATGGCGGGGAGGGATGATTGGCGAAATGGAAGGAACAAGAAGCCAGTTTTTGTGGGATTTGGGGTGGCTGGCTCTGGCACAGCTGCCCCTGCTGTGTCTTTGGGCCCACTTAAAAAAAAAAAGTTTAAATTTTGTGATTCAAATATAATATGATAGTATAATATTTCTTTTATATAAATATAACTTATTTCACGAGGCATACAAAATCAACAATTTAAATAGAGCTCATAATGTGGTAATAACACACCAAGGTGTATTGTGTTTTGTAGGTAAGCATAGTTTGTTAAATCACATAAATTTGGATGCTCTATTATGGTAATAGTACATTATATTTTTTAGGGTGATTAACGAATCAAGTCGTGTAGACTTGTCTTGTAATTAATGTGTCTGAATTTTACGTTTTTGTTTGAAAAGAATTTTTTTAGTTTGACTATTTAGCCTGATTAAAAATGTTTTGTTTTAGATGATTTTTTAATTTTTTTATAATTTTGTGAGAGAAAAAATAAAATAATTATGATTTAAATATGACATTTTATTTTATTGACTTTTAAACATATTTTATCTTTTAGTGAACTATTAATCCCAACTATCTTGTCAAACGAAACCTGTATATAAATTGGACTTTTTGACCTTTGATCAGTTAACATAGTGAGTGTTTGTGAAGTGGGTTTTTATGTAGATTTTTTTAGTTATACGATATTATTGGAGAAAAAAAATTTTGTTTTGGGAAGATAGTTGGGTTTTTTTTGTGGTTAAATGTGATGTTTATGAGAGAAAAAGTGAAATGATTATGAGGTTGAATGTGATATTTTATTTGGATTTATTTTTTTTAATTTTGCAAAAACTTTGTCTTTTACGTTGTGTTTGGTTGGGGGATTTGAGGAGGAATTTGGAAAGGGAAAAGAAAAGTTAAGTGAAATGTGAATAAAATATACTTACATTTCACCTAGTTTCACACACCTTTTCCCTTTCCCTTTCCAAATTCCACCCTAAATCTCCCAACCAAACACACCATTAGTGAAAAAAATAAAAATAAAAATAAAAAACCCACAAAAAATTTTCCCCAAACACCACCATATTGGGTTGGGTTGGGCTTGCTCATAAAACTGAATAGGCTCGGCCCAATGTTTTCCTATTCACAATGTTTAATATTTTCATTGGTGGTTTTTTTTTTTTTTTTACTTTCCCTATATATTTCAAGTATTTGATTCTTTTTTTTTTAATAATTTTCATATAGTCAGACATCGATCATGTAACATAATCAATATAGTTGTTGGAATGAAACTGAATCATTTTGGCTGTGTGAATTAATGAGTCGTGGCAATAGGCTTTTTTGAGTCTAAGCCATTTTGAGTCTTTTGTAATTTTCTGATAATGAGGATGAGTTCAAAATTAGATAATACGAAACTTGGCGGACAATTTTGATTTTGTGCAGAAAAATTGCTTTCATTGGACAGTTTGGGTTACGAATTAATAGAATGGTCGAGTTGGATTTGCCCTTGAGGGTTATTAAAAGGCAGGCTTATAGGTAGGTTCAGGTTATAAATTCTTGTCCAAAATTTTAAATTATTTTTTATGAGTTAGAACAAATTTGACGTTGAAGCCAATCAAATTTGGCCCACAAAACGTGTGGCCAAGTTGGTAATTTTATTTACCCGTATGCCAGTTGATGACCCATAAATTTTTAAATAAATAAATCTACACATAGAGAACGAATTTACTCTTTTCAAGGTGAGTTAAGTATAATATAATTATGTGTAGCAAAACATCTCATATTGATAAATTTTTCTTATGATATAACATTTCAATGGACAGTCGTATTGACTCAAATTAATCTCACATGAGTAGTTGTGGGCTCGCATTTTTCTGCGCTCTGGCCTTTCGAAAAAAGAGTTTGAAAAGAAGGTTTCATAGTTCGGATTTCACCTGTGGTTCTGAATCTAATTTCACAAGTGCAATGTAAGACTGATAAACACCAAAGAGTCCAATCCGACAAATCGTTTTGAAAAATCAGATTTTAAATCAAATAATGCAAAAATTAGACTGCTTTGTCAGATTATAGAGTCGCCGCCTAAATATTTTATTTCTAGGAAATTTAAGAAACCCTGACTCGCGCCAAAAGCCACGCGTTTGTCATCACCAAAGTTGCCTCGGCTCGGGAACTTGGGTACGAGAGGGGAAGGTCCTGAAATGAGCACCCACGCTCGCTTGATCAAAGATCAGCCTCTACTAATTATGATATGACGTTTTATAAACTTCATGTGTCCTTATTCTGGTTATTGGCTAACTTTACTATGTGACACACACAAGTAAATATAAATTAAAATTGCAAGAATTGGAACAAATTCAACTCATGTTTGCTTTCGAAAATAGTTTGAATTTGTCACCTTCAAGTGGGCTTAGAAAATGCGGATTTGCCACCTCAAGTGGACTTAAAACATGATTTGTCACTTCGCAAAGTGGACTTAAAACACACATTTGATGAATTGTTCCAATTCAAGCAATAAGCCTTCATCCACAGGCATTCATACAGTTTAGCATTTAAGCACATAATCTCATGGCAAGCATGCGAAATATGGTAATATGACAATCATACTTATGCAAGTATACTAAAACGTAAAAACTTACCGAGTACTCCAAGTCAAAACAAAAACTAGTTAGAAAATGCATGATCCTAACTATACAAAAATGTCTAATGCAACACATGCAATAATGCAATTAATAGGCTCGGCTCCTAATATAGTATTTACAACACTTTGATAGCATGCTTTGAAACACGTATTCAAGTAAATATTAAAATACGATACAGTTTGAATGATGCGCCGAGCCACAGTGCATGCAAGACAATGTAGGGTTGGAAGACATGCATAACTATGCTAATTGAAAATGTCCCTAATCTAACCATTAAAAGCGATTAAATAAAAAGGAAAAAGACGTAGGTTTAGAAGACATGCACACGCGCACGCACGTACACTTATTACAACATTTCGCCCTCACGAAAGAAGGTCCGAATGAAATAAGCTAACTAGCTACGCTAATTAAGCTAAGTTATTACAACACAATTAATTAACTAATTTATTCTAAGCTAATTAAATAATTACAACACTTGAACGAATGAATTAGCTACTACTAATTAATTTAAACAAAGCAAGTAAATGGCATCGAGGGTGAGGGACACATGCATGCTCGGTTAGTTTCCTCCCGAAAATCCACCGCCTTGCCATCGGATGCCTTTGTTTGCACTCATTTGAACATCGACAGTGCTGCCAACTTCTAGAACACCTCTGCTCCAACTCGGGAACACATTTGTGCAAAATTTCATTTCTGGCCGGTCGGCTACCAATGGTAGCTGTCGACTACCAATGGTGGCCGATCGGCTACTGCTGGTAGTCGGTCGGCCACCCTTTTCCTGAACTTCCCTTTTTTGCTGTAACAGAGAACAAACAGAGGCAAAGTAGTGTATTCTCAAGGAGTGTATGTACTGTTACTCTCCTTATCATCGCACAAGCTCAAAGGAGTACAACTTTTGGCTCTCAAACCATCAACCAAGCATTTCCATGCATAATGGTCAAAGAACCAAGCTTGTACAAGCTTAATGAGTGCAAAATAAGACTCAACAAAACCACAACCCTATCATGCATGATCAAAGGTGATGGTGACCAAGAAAACTAGCACGTTTCATCACTCTGAGTATGAAACGTCCCATTTTTCTCTTGTTCGAATTAACATCTGATCCAAACACATGCAATGCAATACGAAGATACTTAATCTTGCCTCTTTTACTTTGTTTATTTTGTTTACACATTTTAGATTACCAATCCATTCTTTAATTGATTAGTCCAAAAGGTGAGTGTCCTCTAATAGAAAGAGGGCTTAAACCACAAGTACCTTGAGTATGAAAGAGGCCTCATGCTGTTGGTAATGAACTCCCGAAGGAATTAAATCATTAGGCATGAGGGTCTCAATTCCATACTTGAGCCAACAAGGGGTTCAAAGTCACTTTCAAAATAAATGAAAGAGTGAAGAATAGAGGAAGGTTGCAGAAATTTTAGTGCTGAAATGGTGTGCAAAATTATACTAAAACATGCAAGCAACTCATGCAAATCATGTTTAAAAACCTAAAACATTAAGCTAGTAAAGGAGATTGCACTACAACCACACAATACAAGCGTCAAAGGAACAAACCAGCTAAAAACAGAGCTAAAACAACCAAAACAGTAGCAAAAACATGCTGAGATTGAGGTACAAAATGCTAGAAAATTATGCTCACATGTTAAGCTATCTAGGCTTACAAACAAGGCACAAAGAGGGGAGGCTACCCCCTCTAATTTTGGACTTCTTAACCAAGTTTTTATCACTGAAATAATTCTGAATTTCAGTCGTTTAAAGAACCAAAAAGTTTGATGTGAGTATGCTAAAAGATGGTGCAAAGCTTACACAATAAAGCAACAAGAAGTGTGGACTATCCCTTTACACAAAATGACCTCAAACCATCTTGTTAAGTCTAAAAAATCAAAGTTTTTTGTAGTTGAAAACCAGGCCAAAAAGAATATAAAAAGATGGCAAAACAAATATCCAAAACAAAGCCTACAGGTAAATCTTATACCTCTTGAAGCACAGCACAAATCAGCCATAATTTCAGGCTCAAACCTCCTTCCAAAAGCTCAAACTAGGCTTCAAGGGACCTCAGCTCCAAGGTGATCAAGTTTGGTTAAGAGTTAGTGTGCAAAAGTGTAGAGAAAACTAACTACAAAGCACAAAACAAGAAGAGAGAGAAAATTTTAGAGAAAGAGAAAATTTTGATCCAAAATGTCTAACCTTCCAAAATGGGGGAGGACACCCCCTATATATAGAAAATCAAGATTAAAGCTTGTATTCATCTGTCCATACACGTGTATGGAGATGTACTTCAGTGAACAACAGCTGGCATAGCTAGCCAACAAATATCTGAAAAAGGAGAAAAATGGTCGTCAGGCCATCAGTGTGGCCTACCGGCCACCACTGATGGCTAGGAGGCACAAGCCATGGCTGAAGGATTGTGGGGATGGCCGACAGGCCACCCTC